GATAGATAGATAGATAGATAGATAGATAGATAGATAGATAGGTGTGTGTGTGTGTGTGTGCGTGTGTGTTAGGGACTTAAATCAAACAAATATTTTTGTCAAATGGGAAAAAAATCTACCTCAATAATTTAAGAAAATAAATATAGGCCTAGAATAGGCAAGGCAAATTTATTTGTATAGCACAATTCAGTACAAAGACAATGCAAAGTGTTTTACAAGATTAAAATATAGGAAAATAAAACAGAATAAAAGCAAGTAGGAAAAATTTTTAATAAAAAATAGATTAAAAATGCAGAAACAAAAAAGAACATTAAAAACAATTGGACTTAAAAAAAATAAAAAAGTTGAAATGATGTTTCAGTTGAACTGTTTAACTTGAACAGTCGAATGCCAAACAAATGTGTTTTTAGTCCTGATTTAGTCTTGATTTAAAGAATAAAGTATTATGGTGCGCTATGAGCCATCACCAAGGTAGGATCTAATTTATAGCTTGTTTACATTTACTTGCTCCAACACCCAGATGAGTATTATGCGGGTTTGAAAATGCAATCCACAGCTTCTCCGTTTATGGTGTTGCTTAAACCTTTTCCTCCGCAGGCCGCTTTCGTTAGAAGGCTGTAATCTTTCTGCAACACGACTGCTTAATAATAAGCTGACTAACAGGAGAAAAAAAAGAGGCTTTAACACGAAGAGATGAGCTCGGTGTTGAAATGGACTTTCTCAATCTGTTTTATCATGGTCATCAATGGCGACAGAATTACAAAGAATCTCATTATTGCAGCGTTAACAGGCGGTCGCGCGCACATGCGCAGGGCGTTTATGCACGTTTAAGGAGGTTTAATGACATTAGATCTCGGCAACCCTACCTCTAATTACAAAACTATTTACCCAATAAGTGTCTGTGGGGGTCATTTGATTTTATATTAAATTAGGCTCCTATTTGAAATTATAATTGCCCTAGGCCTTATTTTTAAGTCATAATGTAAGAGTTCTTAAAGTAAATGTATCCTAAATAAACCAGGTGGAGCTGATCAAAGAGGGAAATATTGCTTAAGATGACAGTTTGAGGCAAACTGATTCTAATTAATATATTTTAAAGCAATTTTAAAGAGTATATAGGGAAGATATGGGTTTGTGTAAGGCTATCAGTGCCACTGAAAAGTTTGTTAGCTGTGATAACTATACAAGGTCAGAGAGAGGTTTTATGCAAAATAAATGTTTATCTGCTTCCCAAAAAGGCCTTAAAAGAAAGTATTTATTTTGGTGTTACTGTAAAGTATGAAAAAAGTCTAAAATGTTGAAATCAAAGTCTGCACAGAAAAAGATAATAACAAATAAAAAAAGAAAGTTGAAAAAACTTCCATCCTGTCAGAGAAGGTTTTGTCAAGTGCTTTATAATGTAAACTCACTTTTAATGACCCTAGAAATCAGTGTTTATTATTTGGCTTGTTGGTTTCTAAGGGGATTTCTTTCTTTTCCTCCTTAAACTCTTGAGGTCCTCTCTTTTAATTCCCCCAAATATTTTGGATGAAAAATATTCTTAGAGTCTGAAATAAAACATTATCTCCACCTACTACAACAACAAATGTAGACATGGTCTCAGTGAGATTGATTCCTCCAAACATGACCTTTATTAAGAGCTTTTTTTAAGGTTATCTAGGCTGGTTTAGCTTATAGAGATGCCTTGTTAGCATTCACCTTCAAAGCACAACTTGGCTATTAACAAAATATAAAACATAGAAGATATTTGGGTAAGAGAAGTTTTCATGAATTCAGTTTTATCAATTTATGTTTTTGTTTTGATGTGGATATTTTGACATATCTAGGCCAGTGTTTATGCTTAAAATTCTACTGTATCTTTTGTCATTCAAAATTGTTTTCCCACAACTGATCTGGATTTTTACTATTTGTTTTTGTGAAGCATAAACACAACATTTGTGGATAGTACAGCAGTAAAACAGTTTTAACAGCTTAACTACCAATCCAAGCCGTAGCCTTCAGTCCATGTTAAGAGTCTTCGATATATAATAATTCTTCAAAGGGAATGTTGTTCTTCAATTACAGGAAGATTGTTTCTTGTCACAATTAGCTTTAAAAAGTGCGATTCTAACAATTTTCTAGAATGTACCGTAGTAAACATGGCTAGGATCCAAAGTGAACCATTTAAAGCAGGACCTAAGCTGGTATTTATCACTGGACATGTTTTTTGGAGAAGGTTGGATATGGGTAGGTGTTGTTAAATATTTTAAATCCTGGATAGAGATCTATATATTTTTTAAGGTGATGTCAGAGTAGGTGCTCACATGACTGAGTTTTCTCTAACTGCATGAAGTGCCCCATCCCTGTTGCTGCAAACTGTCTGTGAACAAACATTTTGTTAATTTCATTTAGTAAAAGAAAGATAGTTAGATGTTTGAAAGTGTCTTTAAAATGAAAGCAAGGCAACATGTCACTCTTATTATGCTACATTTGGCAAGTTACTGTGTAGGCATCGTGTTTGCTTTCACAGGTTGGCTACCTGATCAGAAAGCCTGACTCATTAACCACTAATATCAGCTCTTAGTATTACTTCATATTTAGCAGGGTGGCACAATAGTTTCCTAAAAACTAATAGGAAGATTATTGTTATATTAAGTATGTGTCTATAATGTTGTGTAAGTCATGGCACTTTTTTTCCTTTCTCGCTTCACATCTTGGATATAACGTTTTATCTTCTCCTTTTGTCGCCTTGGTAGATTGTATACATGCTACACCCGTAATTTTTCTTTGTTTGTTTCTACATTTTATCTCCTTACAAAAGATACTCTAACCACCACCTCTCATTTCTTTGGAGTAGATGGCACTAACCTTAATCCTTGCTCCTAATTCACACTGGATGAGAAGTTGTCAGAGTTATGCTTGCCAGTTTCCAAGGAAAGCTGTAAAAATCCCTGCACTTCATCAGCCCGTAATATTAACTGTGAAACATTCGTGTATTAAATGTCTGAGTGGGTTGAGATTTAAATTATACTCAAAAAGGAATAAATCACATTAGTATTTGCAAATGTAGAATAACAATAACAATCCGAACGCTTAGTATAATACTGAGAGGTCTTGATTTGTGAACTGTCTTAAAAACTTTTATGAGCAGGATAGGAGAAGGTCCATCTGGCTCTTACTGAACATCAGCCTTCCCACCTCCATTAAAACATCAATCTTGACAACACAGGACAGGGGCAACCTATAAACCATACCAGCCTTGCAGATTTTATCATTATTTAACACTTTGGTGGGGAAAAAAAGAGCTGTGTTGGACAAATTGTCTCTCTGAGAAAAGTAGGGAGTTTCTATAAGTGCTCGAGGGATTAACATGGCTAAAAGCTGTGACGTCTCAAGGGCTTTGAGGCCCTATCTGTGAGGTTGTTAGATAGGCTGTTGGAGATTTCTCCTGCAGCCGCGTAATGCATCAGAGGAGGATTTGCCAGACTGCTGGAAGAAAATAGGGTAAAAAAATAAATAAATAAAAACTGAGCTTTAATGGGTAGAATGGTTGAGAAACTGAAGCTGAAACAAAAGATAAAGGTTTATTTTGTTATTTCTGCTTCTTCTCGTTTGGGAGGAGAACTGCTGATAATATCTTCAATTGTCACGAGGAGTAACAGCAGGAGGATGATATGAGTTCAATCAAGATTACATTCATGAAATGTATTTTTATAGTGCTGCAAAAAGCACATGAACAGTCAAATTCTTGAGAAAAATATAATTAGCAAAACATATTCAATTAAGTAGATACAGGAAGTATTACTTATAATTTCTGCAATTTCATGTTTAAATTTGTTCATTACCTTGCAATGCTGCAGAGTTTCTCTTTGGGTAGCTTAATGTGTAACATAGCAAACTTTTTATATTTGATTTTCTTACAATTTTATGCATAACTCATTTATTTTATTAACTTTTTAACAACAAAGATTACTATAAAAGTAAATATCATCCATAAAGTGTTATACCTCACTCCTCGTCCATCTGTATAATTAAATCGGAAGATCAGGAAAGTGTTTAAACTAAATTGTAGTAAGAAAAACGAGTAGGAGTCATGCATTAAAGTTTAAATACAAACTACTAAAATAAAATAACAGTTTTAACCAAGTTAGCATACGTTATACAGAAATAGCAGCCTCCACAAGTGCTGGTTTCCTCTACTAAAGGGAGTTACGGTAAGTTCATATATTAATGAGAAAAAATTTCTCATGCTTAATTTGAGAACATTGGTTGACCAATGGGAACATCCCTTCTTAAGAAACAACAGTGTTTCAGAAAGCGAACAGTGCCACATAAGGCTGTGTGAAAATATTGTGAAGGCGATAATATTGCTTGGTATGTGGATGAAGGTATACGGTGCAATAAGTGCCTATTTGCTCCTCTTTTCACTTCCTGATTTGCTCTCTTGAACACTACTACCTTTAATATATTGGAATATATTTCTGTATTGTGTGAACATCTGCTGTTGTTAGACTCTAAGCAGCTGCCTAAATCTTACCTTAGCATGCAAAATACAACTTCATAAAACTTTAAATATGCTAGCAAACACTTGCTCTCCAGAGTCCTTTGCACTAAGAATATCATTATAACACATTATGAAATTGTGATCGTTATATATTCATAATATATATTTTGCAGCCCTGGTACTACAGTTATTGTCTCATCTAAAAATATCAAATAAATGCAACTGAAGCTTT